TGTCATGATAGTGATCTGTGCACTTCACAAGTCTAATAACCTTTTTACACCTTTTTACACAATTTTTCGTATTTTTCAAATAAAGAAATAATCATCTCCATAGTTCAATTTATCTTCTCGAAGTCTACGAAATTTCAAACGAATTCGTTGGAAACTCATAAAAAATATGGGACTCCAAATTAAACTTACAAAGAAATGTATGCCTAGGGACAAGCGTTGCGCACTGGCATACATTTCTTTAAAAGAATTGGCAAGTTAGGGATCCCATATTTTTATGAGTTTGCAACGGATTCCAGTGAAACTTCACTTACTTACACTTCTGTCAAAAATTTACAGTCTCTTGTAACTTTAAAAGGCCATTTCCGAGTTGCCTTTTGCCTCTATGTCAAAACGAGTCATATTCATATGAAATTCAGCTGCGCCTTCAAGATCAAGATACAAAATAAGCAAGGTTTTTAAAAGCTATTCATTCACCTGCAAAAACAAGAAATAAATAAAACAAAACATGGAAAAAGCATAGAGACTGTCTTGTTTCTGCGCTTACCCCTTGGATAAGCTATGAGAAATAGATTAAGTAAAAAAATTTAAATGAATAAATACAGTTGAGCTTCTGCATACGGACACCTCGAGTTCTCTATATTTAAGAGACAGTTCGTTAACTCCCAGCATAGCCGGAATTCTTACAGTCTTTGCCTCTATAGTACTGCCACCCGCATAATACGGACACTCGAATCAACTCATTGGATGTCCGAATTACAGAGGTTTGACGGTAGAAAAATGAAGTTATACCCAGGGATTTGATAGCTGGCATGATTATACTGTTGATTTAGATAAATTACGCTGGAAAGGTAAATTACATAGGATAAAAGGAAAATTTATAGGGGTTACAATTGCACTGAATATGACGACAGGGAGTACATTTGGAAGCCAAGAAACCCTGTCCAGTAGGCACACCTCAGGAGGAAGCAAGGTGTCCATCAAGTCTTGCTGAACCTTGTACAACATGGTCAAATAGG